GCCCAGATGGATTAAAGACAAAAATATAAATGGTTACACTTTATGGTTAATCAAACAAAGTACTATTAATGTGATCTAGGACTGCAGAGGTATTTCTTAAATGTGCCTCAAAAAACATACATTATATGCCATCAAAATTAAGAAATCCAGATCACAAACATGGAATATATGATTAATAGAGAGTTGACAAATAGAGGGAAAATATTTGCAAGTTTTTGCAAGTTTTAGAACTGACATAGGACTAATGTCTAGAATATAGAAGAAATTTCTAAAATTCATCAATAAATGCCATAAAGGCAAAAGGTATGAGTAAGCAAGGCACAGAAGAGGTATTCCTAATGACCAATACATATCTAAAGTGATACAGAAACTCATTAGTAAACAGGAAGATAGAAGTTAAAAAGCAGTGAAATATTATATTACCCTAAACTATTGGCAAAAGCTAACATAGGTAACTGGGTTGGGATTTGGGTAAACAAAAGGGTTTGTTTTTGTTTATGAACAATAGTTAAGAGTATAGACTAACACAGTCAATCAGGGCAAAGCCCCAGATCTGCTGTATGGGCTAATGATTTTTCCATGTACCTTATGAGGTTGAAATTCTACTCTAGTTTATACATATATGTGATAGAGTATCTTGTACAATTCCACAAGGGGATATATAGAGAAGATTCATCACAGTATCATTTGAAGCAAATGTTGTCAAATTATGGCCCATGGGCCAAAACTGGACACACCCTTGTATTTGTGTACTGGCTGTGGCTGCTTTTATGCTATGACAGCAGAGTTGAATATATGCAACAAAAATCTTAACATGCACAAAGCAAAAAATATTTACTACCCTGCTATTTACAGAAAATATTTGCTGATTCCTGGTTTAAAACATAAGGAAACTGTAAGAAATTTAGGACTCCCATTGCTGAGAGGAAAGCTAAACAAAATATGGACACATACTAATGGGATAGCATATTGCTGCTATAAGTCACAGTGAGTTGTATACTCACAAACATGGAAATAGCTTATAAAAGAATATTGAATGTAAGACAGGAAGAAAGAAAACCAAGTATATGGTTCTAAAAATTTTATGAAATTAAGAATAACTACATAATGTCACCACAATATGTTTTGCAAGAAGATCAACAAGATCATAGTATCATATCAAAGACACTGTAATTAATTTTTATTATTAATTTTATTGGTACATTTTAGGTATACAGTATAATGACATTCATCATTGGAGATTTGTAACTTTACATAATATATC